TGTGGTTCTCAACCCCTTGAAGCTTTGTCTATTAGAAACAAACCCAGACTTGAGCCTAGAATTAGTCCAGTGATTTTTTTCCTTTCCCTCTATTTTCCTCTGTCCCACAGAAAAAAGAATATTACTCAGTGCCACTAGAAAGTATTTGACGCTCTTGGATTTCCTGGTGCCCTTATGAGCACCCTACCTTGGACCCTCTTCAGGGTGACTTTTCCAGGGTCTTCCTGCGTGGGGCTCCTGGGAACCCAGGGTTCTCTCCCCACTGGACGCCAGGGGAATCTGTGCATTTTACTTCCCGCCCCAGGGAGAGCCAGCTTCCTGCCACGCTCTTGCAGCAAGCATTGGACCCTGTCTCATCCTTCTCTCCCTCCATCCAGACAGGCTTTGCTGGACATCCAGGTCAACTGCAGACTCTTTTCAGCCCAACACTTCCAGAGCTTCGACCCCATCCTCTTCCTCTACTTAGATTCCCTTTTTTCCACAGTACCCCCTATTTTCTGACAAAGCTCTCAGCATTCCACCTGGCGAATACTGAGCTCAGTAAATCCTGACCTCTGTTGCTAATGATGCTACCCCGACCTCCTTCCTGAACTCCACGCTTTTATTTCCAAATACACCTTCACAGTTGGCCCCTCCCTGCCTGCACTGACCACCTCCTTACGCTGACCTACTTTTCACAGACTGGACGTGCACCACCTATATGGTATAGGATATGTACTGATATGGTATATCAGTACAGTAGGCCTCGTTCCTTACAGTCCCAGTGTTACAGTCCGTGGTGATTGGTTTACAGAGGGTCCACTGTACATGATAAACAGTTCCCGGTCACGTGTTGCTGGTCCCACAAACTGAATTGTCTTCTTACCTGAGTTGGCTGCTCCTCCGAGGTTTTCATTTCCAGTGGATGGCATCACAGTTTGATTCCTGTTAATTTCTTTTACCCTCGTCTAATCAGATGTGTTCTCCCTCCTAACCCTTTCCTCTCAATTCTCCTGGCACTGAGAATTCCCTGAGTCCTCTCTGGCCCTAGCAGGCAGTCCTAGGAGACAGACAGAGCTGACACATGGCCACAACCACCCAAGTAAGCCAGAGTAGAAACTATAATAAGAATGAGAGATTCAGCATCTTTGTAGGCTTTAAGACTAAATATTATTTCCACCACTATTTTTGGAATAAGTTCAATTAAACCTGATAGGAATCCGAATGGTGATCACAGCTTTGCAACCCCTGTGAAGTACAAAATCACATTAGGAGGTGATCGAGCAACAGTTTTTAAAGGAAAAATGTGCCATTATTTTATTACGGTCAGTGAAATGTCAGTTTAAATCACTTGATGTGATGGTAGTCTTGTTATTTCAGTGAAGTGATGGGATAAATAAGAAGAAGGAATATTATGGTAAGAGGTGATTTAGCCCTCGCCCTTTCTCTGGCTGTGTGATCTGAGATAAGTCACTTGGTCTCTCTGAAGTGTACGTCTTCCATTTACAAAAAGACAGGATTGGCCTAGACCAGCAGTTGTCATGTGGAAGGTTTTGGCAAGCAAGCTGGTCTCTGAGTGCGATCTGGCTTGCATCCCACATCTGCTGGCTCTCTCCTTCTCTCTCTCTTTCCCCATCCACCCCCAAAAAAGTTCTGCTTAAATGCTTTACCTCTTGAGCTATCTCTCTTCTTTGGAGAAAAGGTAATTTGAACTTACCTCCTTTTTAACAAAGCCCCTCCACATTTTCTTACTTTTATAGTTGCTTTCTACGCTGAAGACTGGGGATCTAAATCCACAGGTTTGGGGTGGGCCTTTTTGCTTTTTTGTTTTTTAATTCTTAGAAAAATGATTACATACATGGACCATTTTAAAACTCCTTCCCTGCATGTAATGTTGTAGAATTTGTCTAAAATGGCCAATTTTTCACAAATGGCTGAAGGAGACTCCAGGAAATGTGACAAGGACTTGTGGCCCGTTGCTAATCACTTCTGCCAGGTGTGAGGACCAGGAAAGTCATAGTCCTCAAAGAAACAGCTTCCTGGGAAGTTCCTCTCCTCTTTGCCCCAGCACTGTATTTCTCTCTTTGGATGAATTCAGTTCAGCCTACATCTGTTTCCTATGCCAGTTTTAGTTATGTCCCTGGCTTGTGTGCCTTCACGAATGGCCACCTCCTTGATGGGGGCTCCCTGTGTATTCCTGCTTAATTCCAACCCCAGGCTCTAGTACAGTGATTTGGAAATTCAACACACCACAGATACTTTTGATTGAAAAAGTTAAAAATCATATTAGGAGTGGACTGGCCTCCTTTGAAGATCACTTAATAAAGATATGATTCAAACCTAACAGCTAAGATTAATTTGCTGTGTACGTCTTATACACAGTCCCACTTATGCCCTTAACACTGACATTATTTCTTTAACATTTGATATTATGTCGGGCTTGATGATGAACAACAGCAAACCATTCACAGCCTATAAATCTTAAAGAATTTTTCCTCCTTGAAACTCTCAGATATCTAAATTTTGAACAATTTCCTGAAAATTCTCCTTGAGTTTTGGGTGGTTCATTGCAATTATAGGTTAGAGTCTGCAGAGAGAGAAATCTGAGCTCTCACATAGTCGTTATTAAGTTTTGACATTCAAGATCTCCATTATTGGGCGGTGCCTGTGGCTCAAACAAGTAGGGCACCAGCCACCTATGCCGAAGGTGGCGGGTTCAAACCCAGCCTTGGCAAAAAAAAAAAAAAAAAAATCTCCATTATTAAATTTCAGTTTCACAATTCAGGCGTTCCTTTTGGTCCAACAAAAGGCATTAAGGCATCTGGCATGTCCCTCCCACTACAGTGGAGTAAGCACATACTCCACACAACTTTGCTACTTTGCTGATGTCAGAAACGGGATGAAAGAAGAGCCTCCCACACACTGTGTTCTCCCCTTGTTACCTGCTGGTCAGAAATAACATCATTATCTGATCTTTACCATAACTTAGAGCAACTTTACCATAATTTTGAGCCGTGTAGACACCCAGATTTCTACTCAGCTACATTTCCTGGCCCTAAAACAGCCTATGCCGCCTTCGGTGGGCATTTGTTAAGTGTTATTAAGTAATGCATATATAAAGTTTCTCTAATTCAAAGTAAATTTCTATCTACAATTACATGGATTTCCAAAGATTTAAAATTTCTTTTTCCTGGTATTTTTCTTATTGGTAGGTATACTATGGTTTTAAAAGGCAATATTTAATAATCATCTTTATCACATCATTAGCCAACCAATTTTAATTAACTAGTGATAGAATAAAATGCAGGGATGATTTTCCTCTAAGTTTTAAATGTCGTACAGTATTTCTAGAGATTTAATACTCTTTTACATTTGGAGAAGCTTGAAGTAGTCAAATCCTTTGATTTTAAGTGATTGGTTATTTTAAATATTAATCATATTTAAATTTAAGAAGGTACAAAAAGGGGAGTAAAGTAATAAAAGCAGCGTGTGCCCAAAATAAGGGCCAGTCCGTTGAGAATTCATAAAGCCGCCAATTAACCGGCGCATTACCTGCACTTTGCCGAGCAGACAACCTGACTGATTCTTCTCTTCTGAATCAGCTGAGTCTCTGACTCCAAGGAAAACAGTTATTTAACTGTCAGTCATTTAAGGCTGTGCCCTGTTTTGGCCTTCATGGTAGTGAAGGCATATGGGACCCACTCCCCTCGGTACTACTGGTGAGAACATTCCAGTCAAGGCAATCTGGGACCTAATGGAGAGAAAGGCACAGATCCACGCTCTACAGAGAAGAATATACGTTTCATAACACAACTGTCAGATAATAACAAGCCAGGAGGTTGAAATTGTAACCTTAGGCTAATCCAGTTGCGCGTGGATTTGGGGTTAGTTCTACTGGGGAGTCTTTGGGAGAAGGCAGCAGGCGTGACCTCTATTACAAGGTCAGCATGCTTTATGCCCAGGGGACACAGGCTTTAGGAATATTGGATTGGGTTGAGAACCACTAGTATAAATAATGAATATACTTTTATTTAGCAATGGGGGAAATAAAAATGTTTATTTTTTTATATATTTTTTTTATTTTAGAATGTTACAGGGGTACAAACATTCTGGTTACATGCATTACTTTTGTACAGTTTGAGTTTAAATTATAATTGTGACCATCCGCCAATAGTGTGTTTCTTTAATATAAAAATACATAAACCATGGACAGCACCTATGACTCAGTGAGTAGGGCGCCGGCCTACCATACCAAGAGTGGTGGGTTCAACCCCACCACCCAACCTCTATACCAAGAGTGGTGGGTTCAAATCCAGCCCCGGCCAAACTGTAACAAAAAAAAAATAGCCGGGCATTGTGGCTGGAGCCTGTAGTCCCAGCTACTCAAGAGGCTGAGGCAAGAGAATCACCTAAGCTCAAGAGCTGGAGGGTTGTGAGCTGTGATGCCACAGCACTCTACTGAGGGTGACAAAGTAAGACTCTTGTCTCTAAAAAAAAATATATATATATATACACACACACACACAAACACACCAAGAACTTTGTAACGAGTCATAGTAAGTTTTAATCATGCAATGTATGTCCAGTCCTATGTGGTGTGATTGAACTATTTGAACACAGTGATGGGTTTTTATCAGTCCCTGTGTAACACTAAGATAATGGCCGTGTGCACCCTTCTAAACCACCCCAAGGAAGTTCCTGCAAAAACAAATAAGCAGAGCTACAATCCAGCTGAACCACCATATCACCATATGTTATTCACCAGTGTAACTTCAGTGATTAGCACAGTGATTAGCACAGGGCCAAAGACATATTGGGCGCTTGATAAATATTTGTTGAATTAACACACTGAGTTGAATCTGGGTAAAATCAGTTATTCCCATAGTTGGATTTCCATTGTGAATTTTAAAAACAGATGACTTTTTACAGCTCAATGCTCCCCTGAATCTGAACGATAAGAAACGATGACACTGTGATAAATAGCTTGTATTGATTGCTCTGTTTTATTTGTGTATTTACAGGCAAATGGACACAGTTTTGTACATATGGAACATGAAAAAGCTGTATTACTACTGAAGAGTTTCCAGAATACAGTAGACCTAGTTATTCAACGTGAGCTTACTGTCTAAATATTTTTTATAAATAGTGAAGATACGTCTAGCCAAACCTAATGTTCAAAAATAAATTTATACATAGAAACAAATTTTGCCAATTGCTGGACCAATGGCAAACATTAGTGCCAAATGTATAATACTATATGTTAGCACTGATCATCCTTACAAATGTTAACTCTATAAATAATGATGTCCACGTGGTTATGTATTAGTTTTAATTGTCAGCCTCTGGCTGTGCATTGGTGCAGTTTTGTTTTTGTTTCTGTTTTTTTTTTTTTTTTTAACCAAATAAGTTTCTTCTCAAAGTGGATTTCATATAATTTCAGAGCACGGAAGCACACACAGCTCTTTATGAATTCTGCTCTCCATCAGAAACACTGCCTCAAAGTTGTATATGCCTTTATATAGCAAGTACAAACATGAAGAATTGTAATTCCCATAAAATATTTCTAGCACAAGGTATATGTTGGCATATATACAAAAACAACATAGATGAAAACAATATTTTCATAAACTAAACATCTCGGATTGAGAAAGAAAATATATCTTAAAATAAGACTTTACTATATTGAATCTTTTTCAATAAAAATTACATGATAATGCCTTATGAAAGTAACTGTACATATGGTATAAAGTGTTTATATTTGGTTCCATATTCATTTGCTAAATTCCATAACACAGAGTGAAATATTTCATAAATTAGCCATTTATCTCTGGGACCTGAATAAAATAGAATAAACTAATTTGTTCAATGCCTTTAGCTAATTAGAAAACACGCAGAGTTTAGAAACAGTCTAGAGATCTTGTAGATAACCCCTTTTCACCCCAAATTTAAGCAGTGGATGATGGGCGGCAGGAAAGATATTGCTTTCTTTCTTTCACATTTCTGTTGATTATAAACTGTAGCCCCTGTGATTTCTTTACCTGTAAATGTGAAATTTATTTGTGTGTTGCCTAATTTAATTTCGCTACTTTTAAATCATTGAAAATGAGTTTGGGGAACTGACAAAAATTATCATTAAGAAAGACTGTTGTCAGAAAATTATGGTGGGTGATTAAAAAACTTTGGTATTTAAATATGAAACTTCAAATATAAGTTCTCAGAGCTGTGGTCTACCTGTACTATTAATGTCAATGCCTGTTTTTGCAGGCAGAAGTAGATAAAATACTTTTCTTCCTCCAAAACTTGTTTCTGCTGAATGCTGTCTCAGCAGAGAGAAAGATAAGCAGACTTAATGTAGGCCTGTTTACTTTATCATTGAAACTATTTCCCTCCATCAATAATCAAAATTAATTTTATAATCCTTTAAACATGTTTCTCTTTTATAGTAGTCATTAATTAAAACATTCATTTGAAATTCCGAAATAATTTTACAGAGTTTGTTGTACACACTCTCTCTCCTATTTCCACTTAGTTCTTGTGTCACTTAATAAGTTTACTTTACATGCTAGTGTTTTCATATTCTACTAGGATTTTCATAATAGTATCACATATTGATATCACCAAAGCTCTGAGAATAATATTTGTAAGTTAACTGTTTTATGGGGACATTGAAAATACTGTATTTTTGTAGGGTCTATTAAAATGAGTGTCACTTATTAGAAGTACAGTAGTATTTTTTGGCAATAGAATTTGTCACCTGAAGGCAAATGATACTTCACTTTATAGATGATGCACTAATTTTGATGTTGCTTTATGTCAGGGTGACATTATATCATGATTTTCTAGGGTTTGACGATTAGCTGATGATAAAATGATTGGCCTATTTAGTATGTTTCCCAGAAATAACTTTTAAATGCATTTTAATATATTGAGAGTTTCTGATGAGAAATGTCTTTCAGAGCCTAATTTTCTTTGTCAAAAACTCACACCAAGGCACCGCATCCAGATCTTGTAGGGTGATCATCGATTAATCAAGATAGAAGCCCTCACTGGCCTCGCAAGACACGTTAAGGAATAACAGACTCAGGGGTGTGGTTCGGTGGCAGTGAAATAGATCATCCCATCAGGTGTATTTTATCTTCTATGGGAGAGTGGGAGAAAAGCCAGGGATTGGCCCTCGTCCTTGTCTTCAGTCAGGCTTCCTGTCTAACCCAGGGCTGCGGGAAGTGCTCTCAGGCACACAGCAGAGAGGACCGGAGCCTGGCAGACACCTCTGCCTCTTCTGATGTGACACTGTCTCAAGCCAATGCTTTAATCCTTCCTATTCTGCAGTTCAGAGATGAGGAAGGAATAAAGGTATACTAGACCACCTGGAAAAGGGACCTGAAAGGCCAGAGCGTCCCACTGCCAGGTACACTGCCACTTTGACCTCTGAGGACAGGCAGGCAATGAGCAGGGAGGCTTCTTTTTTTCTAGGTTGGCCAAATAGAATCACTGATCACCTGAGGGGAAAAAATGATCTAATTGATTCCATGGTGACAAAACCCGGTAATACATTGATCCTTGATTGTTGACTTTTTGCAGTAACTGGTTTTGCTACCTGAAATTAAAATCTGGTTCACATTAACAGCAACAACAAAAAAGTCAAGGGTGTGCCTTTAAGAAAAGAAAAAAAAGGAAAAAATCAACAACAACAAAAAGGAATGGAATTCATGATGGCTCCAGTAGCCTCCACCTCCTGGTCTTTGATTTTTATTGGACTTTTGCTGGGGAAGCTGTTTATATGCACGTGTCAGTAAGATCTAATGGACAGGACTGGAGGTGGAAAGGTCAAGCCCTGAAAAATCATCAGTAGACTTACCAGAGGTCTCAGAAGACACATAGACCGTCCTGGACAATTTTAAAGGCTCTTTCTAAGGCTTAAAATACTTGATCGTAAAATTTCTGTTGTAACAATTCCAGTCTTCCAGATAATACAAGTCACCTCAACACACATAATAACTTCAAAATGTAAATGTGAAATATAGAGGTATTTTTGATAAGGAATATTCAAAGTCGGGATGACAGACAACTATTTACACTGTGCCAATTTATTGCCCCCTGAAACCTATAGAAGTGTCCCTGTTACTTAGAACTGTGATTGTATAAACATCAAACAATGTCAAATTGTTTCTAGACCTCAGCTTGGATCACTAGCTTCAAAATGGAAAACAGCTTTAAAGAAGGAGTAATAGGACAACATAGATTTGCTTTTAATCTTACAGATGCTCACACCCCTATCACCCATACAACTGCGTAGTTAAAAGTTGGAGTGAAATATCTTCTAACAGGTGAGCTAGAGAGAGAGAATGTTCAGAGAGGAGAAAAACCTTCAAGGAATTACGTTTAGAGACCCAAATATTAACTGAAAAGTATCTGATTTTGTCAAAACAATTAGATGAATGAAACCGAAAACACTTTAAATCATAAAATTTAAAGTTTTCAACAGCAGTGTTCTTTCCGTTGCCCTTTACTGCTATCCTTAATTAATTTCTGCCCCTAACTGGCACGCAGATCCAGAATGTCTATTCCAATGAATTCTCTCTTATTAAGAGGCAAGATTACAACATATCCTGAGGCAAAAGGCATGTGGATACAGCACACCGCTCTAAGTCTTTGGTAAATTGAGTTAGACAACACATTTGACTGACTCCTAATATACTGACCCCAAAGCAACTCTTTTTGGAACACTAGGTCAGTAAAACATTAGTTCGAATAATGAAATCCGATATATTAAGAAGAGGGGTCCTACACCTGGTACAAAGCTAACCAGGGCTGAAGGTCCTCTGCAGCTCCTCTCACGGGAAGGCTAAATCTTTCTGAGCCCACTTCATTGTCAGACTCAGCTTTGCACTATTCCCTTATGCTTGTAGTTACCTGATCCTCTGGGAACTGGGGGAGCCTCCGGATGGGAGGCAACCTGCGTGAATGTTTTTCCTCAACCATATGACCACCTTCCATTAAGAAAAGCATCCCACCTTGCCTCAGAGTATTTCCCCTCACCCAATAAGACCCTTTACCCCAAGATCATATTAACAAGAAAACAGAATGTGGGCTGTGGACACAGGTGCGCCACGGACAGCGTGTGGGTTGATAACATAGCCGGTCCCGAGCACCAGCTTTCTTAAGCATCCTTTTTGAAACTATTCAGAGGATGTATTTTCTGAGGCACTCCGCTGTATAAAACTAGGGTAGATGCTGTCGGTTTCCAGTTCTTCCCTGAACCATCTGGGACGTTTCTGTTTCTGGCACCTGATCTCTTCCTTGGTGCTGCCACGGGTTCCAAGGGCTCTCCCCGCGGGCTGCCCCGGGCAGTGGTTTGCTTCTCTCCCCCGTCAGCGTTCTAGCTGCTCAGAGACCCCTGAGTAGCAGCTGATGGTTCCAGCTTCCAATTTGGGAGGAACTTCCTCGGGTGATCAAGGAGGCTGGAGAATGGCAGCAGTAACAGGTGTAAGCACTCACCACGTTCCTGACAACAGCACGCAGCACTGGGTGCAGGGGTGAGGGTGGCAGCACCTCCATAAAACCGCGTCTCCCCTCCCCTTTTTGAACATGTTGGATGGATCTTGCCAGATTGAGGGCCTGTCTCTAAGCTCCCAGCTGCTCCTTACTGGGGTGGGTTCCAATGCTCCTGATCTTTAACACTGTCTACAAGAGAAGGGTTTGGAAACGCTCCCCTGTGAGGGTCAAAATTGCCTGGTTTCTACTTTGAGAATTCAGAGACGTTTGAAAAGCTGAGGAGAAAAGTCCATTCTAAGATCTTATTTTAAAACATAAGTGAAAATACAGCCATGTTGAATTCGCTAGGCTGTCACCTGAGTGATTATCCTCACCTGTTCCGTGAGAAGGAGAAGAGGCTGAGGGGTGTGATTTACTGGTTCCAGCCAAGGAGGCCTTTTTTCCAGCTGGTAGAGCTTCGGTTGGGTTCTGGGTAGGATGGCCAGCTCGCGCTCCTCCTAACAACACACCGGGCACCGAGCAAGGTAAGAGACGGGCTGGGTTAAGGGTGCACGGACGGGGAGGTTCTCTCTGCCGCCGCACCCCAATTTTGTTAATGGCAGCACCTCAAAAAGTGGAAGGTTGTGAAATTCAG